GTGGTAGAGCGCTAGCCTTGAGCTAAAGAGCTGAGGGACAGCGCCCAGGCCCAGAGTTCAGGCCCCACTACCGGACCCAAAAAAAAAAAAGAATGGATGAACAGAGAATTCCTAGGGCAGTGAAATCATGTGTATGTCATTATAATGGTGGACACGTGTCACGATATGTTTTTCTGCTCCCATGGAATGTACACCGCCAACAGTGAACCCAAATGTAAAGTATGGTCAAGTGACAATAATACAGGGAAACTATTTGTGTGTGGTTGCTAGAGGTAATCAGGAAATCTCTGGACCTTCTGACCAATTTCATTGTGAACCTAAAACTATGCTAAATATGATTTTTAAGTGAGGGGAAATTTCTAAAATGGGATGATTATTAATGGAGGTTCCCAAGCAGCTTATAATCAATTTTTCTTGCTCCTGTACAGGTAAGAATTGAAACGTTCTGGATAATCCAGGGCTTTGCCTTATATTGTAGTTTCAAAGAACGAGAATAGAGTGAAATACTTCCAACACTAAAGCCACACATACCCTAATTTGATCTTCAGGTTTTTTTGTTTGTTCTCAAAGTCACTAGTAACTTTTCAAGCAGTGTTTCTCGAAGAGTAATCCAAAGAAAACCCCAGTCAGGAGTATCAACTGATAGAGAGGAGTTTGTTTACAAAATGCGGTGTTGGGAGCCCATTTGCATATTTAGGCACACCAAAATTTGAGAACCAGCTTTAGTGTAGTGAAAGTCAAATTCAACTAGCAGTGTTTGCATTCAAGAGATGGCAGGAGTTTGCTGAATGGATAATTCAGCAGAACCGCATATATACATATGTCCTCCCCTTCAAGTCTTTGCTAATAATCATATTCCGTATGAGCAATTTCCTTACCTAAAATTGCATATATCACCCTTCCCCTGAGCCTCCTGCCCTTCCCACCTCCCCCACCCCCATTGCCCTATTCCCTCTCCTTCTGAACTGCTTTGTAGTTACTTCTCTGACTTTTGTCCCTAGAAATTAAGCTGTGTGATGATAAATGCTGAAAATAAAGCACCTAGGACAGTGTGTGCAATGAAGAAGGTGTTTCATAAATATGTGTGATGATTCTTATCATCTTGGTTGGTTGGGCATAATGTCATTTGTCCATGGTCTTTCTCAAGATGATTTTTTTTTTAAGTTACAAAGTTTTGTTCCTCACACAATGTGCTGTGTATGTAGTCCACGAGAGAAAGAGCTGGAATGCATCTCCAATATCTGGGGGAAATGATCCGTTTTCCTGACTACACATGAGAGTCTCCGTTCGCTATGAGGATAATGCATTTACAACTACCTCGTCCTGTGAGGGCCACCCCTATCTAGAAGGACTTGTTGCCCACCTTGTTGAACAAATCAAAATGAAGCCTCAGTTTGAGCTAGGTGCACCTGCCTGAGGAAGGAACTTCCCTGAAGTCTTTCCCTGAGTCACTGGGCTACAAATCAGGCATTGGCAAAAAGGAAGTAGATGCCAATGAATGGAGCCTAGCTCAAGCCACTTCTGACACAATCTCCACTACCTCCGATCAGATGACCCTCACCGTTTCCCAGTCAAACCACCTGCCGTCGGCACCAACACACGTCAGTGATTCTGGACACTTGGAATTTCACTCTCCCAGCGGTGACTCTCCATGAACACAAGGAACCTAGCTAGCTTCAACCCAGGGTCGTGGGAATCCCTCACACTTGGGGATTACCACCTTGCCAACCTTCATCTGTGTCTCTCCCAGGACACACATCTCTCTCTCACACACACACATCTGGGAGGGAATGCCCTGGGTGAGATGCTCCCCGCCCCCACCCCTGGGGATGCTGAGGAAGTGTGGGATAGAGTAGGAGGACACAAACAAGAAAAAGCTAGTTGGTTGTGTGTTGTGCTCAGAGGGCGGCAGGATGAGCCTGCTGAGCATCTCTGCCAGGTCCCCAAGGAGACCATTATGGAGAGTCTCTCACGTTCTCCTACGTGTGCTGGTTGGGGGTCTGGGGGTGGGGAGGGATGGGAAGTGTGCTACCAGGCGGAGGGTGGGAGTCTCCAGACCTGGAGCCGCACGGTCATCGAAGGTGGCTGAACACTGGACAGGTGTGAAGGTGCGTCGTGTCTCTGGGTTATCTGGCTGGGCTGAGGGAAGGAGTGGGAGGTGAGGGAGGGGCGGGGTGGCACTGACACCAGCCCCCTCCCCCAGCAGGCATAGGGGTAGAGGGTCAGTAGTAGCTGTCTCAGACCCCAGCTTTCACCCTCTCTTGGCTGGATTTCAACCAGGGATCTTTGAGGTCTTTAGGCTCGGACACCGAGATAGGCAAGGTGGCCTCCGCCCCTTTGAACATCCTTTCTCAGAGTCGTTCTTTCCTGGCTGACCTGAGCCGCTTTGAGGTGTTAGATGGCTTGGGTAAGGATCTCAGTGAACCCAGAAGTTAGGGGGTGGGGCGGGGCGGTGGGAGAGATGAAGAGAGAAGTTTGTCTTCCTGGGGAAGTGGTCTCAGAATGAGATCGACCGGGGGACGTAACTGAGCACGCAGTGGGGAGGGAGCTCGGCTTCTCCCAACGCGGTTCCACCGAGCTAGAACTCTGCCAAAGTGGGGGGTGGGGTGGGGTGCGGTGATCCCGAGGGGAAGGGTCCCAGTGGGGGGGGTGTGGACACCGGGCTCCTCAGCTGGAAGCGGGGAGGGTCTGCAGGGCCCCGCCTTCCTCCCCAGCTTCCTCGGCCGGGGTGGGGAGCGGGCAGCGGTGCCTGGGACCGGAATGGGGCAGGCAGCGCGAAGCAGGCGGAGCTGCACACACGGAGTTGGGGACGCCCCCCCCCCAAAGTGGAGACCAAGGCTCGGGACGGGGGGGGGTTCTTTTTCTCAATGGACGGTAGAGGGACCACGAGTGTGGAAAGAGAGATTGTGGGGGAGTTCGGAGGACAGCAGAGGCATGGGGGGGACTAAACGACTCCTACCGGGGTGCTGCCGCTGTCGGACGCGAGGCGCTGAGAGGGTTCCCCCAAACCGGATACCAGAGCCGCCGGAGAGGGACCCTAAATCAGGCTCAGAAGAAAACTGGGGGCGGGGGGTGCTCCCAAGGCGGCCTCGGGTTCTGACACGGGGGAGGGAGGAGGGACTGTCACCAGTTGGAATGGGTGGGGGTTGGGGCGCACCGGGGCGACCTCCAATCTGACCC